GAAGGACAAAGGACATTCATTTGATGACCAAGATGTACTCATTTTGGACAGAGAAGATAGATGGTTTGAGAGGGGTCAGGGAGGCTATACATGTGCATATAGAAAATCCCTCACTCAACAGGGATGGAGGCCTTAGATACAATTTGTCTATTTATCATGCTTTCTTTTCATCTTTCCCCAGAAAGATTAGGACCACACACACCAGAAAGACCACTGTTAACAACCGTTAACAACCCATGACAATGGGTACAGAAGGACTGCAGAAGTGGGATTATCCCTCACCCCCAGTCCTTTGTCCTTCTAAGGAGCCTATTCACACCAGAGGGAAGTGAAACCATGTGGAGAGATATCCTAATAACTCTCCTCATACTGAAGAAGCTACCTGGAGGAGCAGCAAAAGATTTCAACCAAATAAGAAAAAGTCCAATTGCCATGACTCAACTTCAAAATAACCACACCTGGATGACTTCACCTGGATATCTTCACAGATATATTGGCTAAAATGTTGCAGTTATACAAACATTGTAACTTTTAGACACAAATTCCTGTAAATTAAGATGTTTACTAGGTATGCAATAGACAATGTCTATAGAGATTTCATAACTTATAGTAATTTACTTCCGAAGGTTATGCCATTCATGTAACTTAGCAACAGGATTTCAGCTATTATTTCTCGCATCAATGTTTTCATTCTAATTCAAGTTAAAGATTGAGAAGCTTCAAAACAGACAGATGATAGTAACGAGATTAAGAAACCTGAAGAGAGATCTGCTTAAATGAACTGTCTAATAATAATTTAAGAAAAGATTAGTGGTAGTTGACGAGCTCATGAACAACTTCAGAAGGGGAGAAACAGTGCTTCTCTGGAACCAGTTATACTAATGAATACCTTGTATATTCTATGCATAGTCTTGCACCTAATCTGACCTTTTTGTTCTTATCCAGATCCCTAGGTGATATCAATTAAGAGACACAAAGACCTGCAGAATGTTTTAAAATCAAGCAGGCATGCAAGCATTAAACCAAATTCAAAATGTTACTCTTGTTAATTTAGTTTGCTTCATTTGACATGCACGTTATACTTATGGGTTAGTTACTGTACTTAAAACAATCAAAACCTTGCTTTATTATAATCTTCACAAATAGTGTATCTCAATAGTGCAACACAATGAAACTCTGTAAGGACTTACTGATCTTGGGTTAAGGACCTTGCAGATAAGTTAAAATAATGCTGTGTGAGAAAAGAAAGCATATTCACAGCCCATCTAAGACAGAACATGTCCAGTAATTTGGTCGGGCAAGTTACATTTTCCATACTAATGCACACAGCAATTCCCAATGGACTTTTTGTTCAGAAAAGCAAGGAGACACAGTCTTAAAAGACTGACATTTTGGTACACCATCTGGGAAGAAGGGAGGCTTATATATTTTTTGTCTTCTATTCCTCCTCCTAATTGCCCCCCTCATTGCTTTCCCATATAATTCAGCATGTGTATCTGTTGGGAAGTGGTATAAATCTGGCACCCTACACATCAGAAGGAAGAGCATCTAACCACTGATCTGACTATAGGTCAGAGGAAAAAGCACATCAGGGGTTCTGAATTCTGAAATGTTTCCCCTCCAAAACAACTCCCCCCCAAACCTTACTGTGTATTAGTTCTATTAAAACTTGACCTGAGTAGTTTATGGGTGGTTTTGTTAGTCTCCTGCTTCTCAGATACTCCTGAAGCATATGGCATTTGAAAATGTATATCCCACTTTCACACATAATTCTATTATCAGTAAAATTTACACAAAAACTGAAAGTGTACTGTGAAAGTTAGTACTACTCAATCTGCTTTTCCAGACTGAGGATCTTGTTACAACAGTGACTAGTACCGTATTTGCCGGCGTAGAAGACAACTTTTTGCCCTGAAAAACATGCCTCCAAGTGGGGGGGGGGTCGTCTTATACACCGGGTGCACCCAGAGCAGCACGTAGCGCAAGGAGGAAAGAGGAGAGGTGAACGAGGAAGAGGAGGAAGAGGCAGCGGTGGCGCCTCTTCTCCCGAAGAAGCAGCGGGCAGCTCTGGCTCTCAGGCACCGAATGGCCCAGCAGGAAGCAGCATGGAGAGGCGAGCCCAGCCCGGGAAGTGGGCGGAGCTTGGTCCCCACCGGCTCAGTCACTTCCTCGCAGTTGCCCTCGCGGAAAGCAGCAGCAGCAGCAGCAGCAGCACCGCCTCCTTCTTCCCCGTGACCTACCACCATGTTGCCCGGGCAGAAATAAGCTGGCAAGCAAACGATGCCTGCGACAAGCCAGCGCCACCCCGCTCGTCGGCAGCGCCGCTGCCGCCGCGCCGGGCTCCTGAGGAGACTTCTGGAGGCCGGGCGAGCAAGCAGGCTCTGGCCTCTGCCTTGGGCTACCAGCTGGTAGCCCACCCCAGAAACTTGCTTTCCTTCTCCTCCCTCTTTGGCCCCTCCGACAGGGTAAAAGGCAGAGGGAGGGGGTAGTCTTATATA